TGAACGGAACATTTGAGCTGCAACCCCCCTCCCACTCTCGAATGATTTTAGTTAAAAAACCGGATTGATTTATATGATTTAGACGTAGTGTTCTCGAGTATGGTCATCTAGTGTAACAAAGAGTTTCGAGCAGACAAAAAGCCCGATCGAGCCAGATTCAGCCAGAAACTTCAGTGTAACATTTTCGGACCAAATTAACAGCAAAATACAATTGACCGATCTGATCGCTTGTCTGTTTGTACGTCCGTCCGTTCGTCCGCAGACAACGCATTCGAGATACTAGGCCATGTAAATGTTCAGCGGAGTGGAACTATCCATGCTGGAGATAGACATCCCTATTAATGACAACGATCAAAGTATAGAAGTTGTGATGGAACTACATTACCAAGCTAATTAATTATCATAACGAGCGCTCGTATTGTGTGTGTGCGTGTGTGGTAGTTTCTTACAGCCATGATGCTTGGCACTGATTCTAACCCGGGTAGTCCGTAAATTGCGATCATGGTGGAGATAACCACCAGGACATTGAAGCAGCAGAATCTTTCAACTAAGACGTTAACTTTATGTTCGCTAATGGATTCACGTATATGTGTTTATATATATGCCCCGATTAGTGCACAACGGCCATTGATGAAGCGCCAAGAGGAGGGTGGACACGAACATGACCAGCTGGTGAAATGTTATCCGGTGATGGTTTTTGCCAACCGCCACAAGGATGTTAGATTCATGAGGAAAATTGCCATCCGAACTCTTTCGGACGTGTATTGGCACAACCAATGCGCAAAACATGGATGTCGAAACTCACTGTCCTGCGGAAACAATAACAATGAAAAAAAATATGGAATATGGTACGGTTCGGACAAGAAACGCACAAATGTGCGCAAACATGTTAGTACCAGTAACCGGGTTTGGACTGCATTTCACACACGTATGAGTCCAGACTGTGTGCCAAACAAATTATAGTATAATAATCTTCATAAAAAAGAGTTCCACGACTAGTTTGTGGGCGGACCACTACCAGGTTGCCAAGGATAAGGTGGGTGAATTTTCTTGGGGAATTTACAACCGTATCATTTGGATAGCGAAAGCCTGATCCGCGAGTGAAAGCGAGACGGTGTGCGAAAAACGTAATCCATTTTGGGACCGGTATCCGGTTCATCGAATTATAAGCTCTTTGGACGGAGTCAAATGGCCAACATACCCAAAAGCCAAAGCTTTCTACATCCCTCTACNCTACCCCTTTCCACCCACCACTTCTCGAGGTCATTCCTCAGACTCTTGATAAGCCGGCGTTTGAGGGATTTGGGCGCTGTGTCATATGTGGCATCAGGAGGGAGGGCTCTGCAGGTATCCAGCAGGGAAGCCGAGGTCGACGAGATCCATCGTCTGTGTTTCGAGCTTGCGGCAGGGTCCGACGTTGTCTTTATTGATATTTGCATAGCTTCCTTGATTTGATTCCAGTGTTCATTGAGTCCTTCGGCTAGTGATTGAACTGATAGGCGAACAGAGAGTTCCGCTTCGAAAGGCGATTCGTAGTAATCACGCACGCAGTATTGTGGGTATTCATAGTCGGTGGCATTTGGTGGTCGCTTGCTAGGCGTAAGGAGAATTTGGTGATCCGTATCCACAGGTGCAGATCAGTAAGAACGGCAGTCTTGAATCGACCCCCTCCATCGGTAACTGATGGCGATGTGGTCGATTTAGGTCCAGCGCTGTGAACAGGTTGGCGGTTTACATGTAAGGTGGTGTCACTTCTTGTGCGAGAAGTTCGTGCTCGACAGAAATAGTCCGTGATCAGCGCAAAGTTGGAGTAGGCGATCTCCGTTGTCCGTCCGGGTGGCTGGGATTGTATGCGTTCCGCCAAGGAGCGGTCCAGGGATCCCACTTGAGTACTGAGTTCTACTACTACGACTACTACGACGTTCGCTGAGTGAACACTTTGGAGTAATTGAGAAAGGTCCTTGTAGAATTCATCCTTGATTTCAGGTGTACTACAATCGGTCGGTATATACACCGATATGACGAATAAGCATCAATGCCTCGCTCTGTAGCTGTTCACCCGTGCTGAACCGTTGAGACGTGCAGCGCACAGTCGGCTATTAGTAATAAATAATAAATGTCTTTTGATCGGTAAACTGCCCCCCTCATTGTTTTTTTTTGCTGGGGTGACCTCTCCAGGGGCTGGACTGGGTAGTTAAAGGAAGCCAGGTGCCCAAGCAGCTGGCCTTATGAACCTGATCTTCATCTGGCCTCTATCCATTG